AGACTGGTAACGCGGCACGTGAACTATACGAGGGTATAATAACGCGGTGTGTATCTGTTGCGCGTCGCTCGCTGTTGCGCAGGGTTGTCGTCCAGGGGACGAAGAGCGAAACTCATATCGTTGTTTATAAACGGATAGGCGATCGGGAAGAATTCAGGCGGAATGCAAACGACGTCATCTTTCACTTTGAAGCACCTTTATATTAGAATCGTTAAGTTATCACAATTAAAAGACCAGCTCGCGCGTTAATCATCAAGAATTTTCTTCCTAGGTATCTAAACCTTTATTGTGCCTGGATAACCCTATTCTTTGATTTATTTCATCAAGTAGATTCATTGAAGAAATTTATTCAAAATGTTGAAATCCATATGCGCAAAACTAAAGCGACTTTTTCTCGAACTTACATTTTCTAAACTCCCGCCAATGATACGAGCAAGCATTTTTCTTTCATTTCACGTACAACTATGCTTGTTTAGTATCAGTTTACAATTTCATATAAAGAATTTTACGTAATTAAAATTTATCGATCTAATCGCAGTTCAATTTTAATTGTTCTGAATTTATTTTTTTTTTATCTACTACTTATTAAGGCAATTGAAAGAAAGAAAATGATATAATATGACGTTATTATTATATCTCAATGATAGTGGAGTAACAATAATACGTGTATTTTTGAGATTTGTCAATGTTTTTGCCAAGTTCGTATTTGTTCTAAATTAAAATCGAAATCATTACGATTCTTTTATCAGAATGATACTTTGTTATTAGTTATTGTTGCCGTTTAAATTCTGTTCACGTTTCTTTTATTGTTCATGACAATGCAATAGAGCACGCAATGAGCGACTTTCGACGTTTGCGCCATGAAATCGATACGCGTGCCGTCCAGTGGTTACGTAATATGAAAGTCCATGCCGTTGAGCAGTGAAGACACTATTACGCAGGGAACAACTAATGACCGTTTCTATATGTATCTTCAATATAAATGTCTCAACAATCTCAGTTAAATTGATCATTGTTACAGAAAGGAAATTCAATTTTTCTTTGAGGTTAAATAATAATTATTCAGAAAAAGTATTATACATAAATACTGTACATTACAGGGAAAAAGAAATATATATTTACGTTATAAAATACAAAAAGTTTATTTAGTACATTTTAAAGTTCAAATTGACAGTAGCAGCTAACAAAAATTTTTATTAAATAGGAAATTTAATTACGAAGAGTAATTAAGCAACAGCTTTCTCCCGACAAAATGTATTTTTAGGATATTTACTGCTCTTTTAGCAATGATTAATTTAATTAAATTTATTTTTAGCGTATATCCATTGCCCTATTATAGAAATTGATTAATAGGCATATTTAATGAACGGAATAATATTTCGTCTTGTTGAAAGCTAAAATGGTCTTTTATTGAGATACGCTTTATCGAAAAATATCCTTTAATGAAAATTTGTGAATATTTTTTACACTTTTTAAAAAAAGATTTAATAATTAACAACTATACGGTCCTTCTTCCCCTCTTCCAACTTAGCTTTTAGTCTTACTTAAAATTTATGAAGAGTTAACTGAAAAATAAAATTATCGCATCATTTCAAGCGTAATTTGTCCAAATATTTTCTTTATCCATCAGTTTATATCCGATAAAGCTCATATTTTGACATCTTTTTAAAGAGAAAACTGCTTTAATTTTCAACAAGGAATAAAATCACGTGCGCGTCTGCCGAACTGTTTCAGCAATGTGCTATTTTTCCCTTCGGACGGACCCTCGCGAGAGTCTTAGGAGAATTTGCGGCATTTGCGATAAATCAGAAAAGTGTGCTGCACGCGCGATCGATCAGTTGGCGCGTACCTATTATTGGCTGAAATAAAGGGAAGTCAACATAGAGGTAAAGGAGAACGGCCGTGTCTGCAAGTGCATTTCATCAACGACAGAAGGAGCGCAGTTGTGCGATGGGTAGAGAAGGGGAGAAGGGTGAACGGGGGGTGTGCAGGAGGGTTGTATAGGGACGACGGGGGAATCAATAACGGCGAATGAACGCTCCGTACGCGCTCCCACAAGTCCGTTCATTCTAGGCCCTTTTAAAGACCGATAAAAATCTCCGTTGTGTTTAACATTAATGCCGAACTTTTCCTTTTCGATCCGATTTTCTTTTTCTTTTCTCAAGCCAAAGATTGATAGATGATAAAAGCAACGCGATAGTGTCATTAAAAATTAATAGGTTTTTACAGTTGTTTATCAATGTTTTTACTGTAATTTACATGTTTTGCTATTTTGGCAATTATGCCTTACGCATTTGTTTTATTTATTTGCAGATGCATAAGTGGATTTAAAAAAGAAAGTCTTTATAAGAGACATACAAAAAAAGAGAAAAGAAGAGAGAGATCATTATTATTATATTTATTTATTGGCTACGATATTGTTGATTATAGTATACTTGTTTAAGTCTTTGATTAATCAAAATTTTTTTCGGATTTTGATTAATCAAAAACTACAATTTACGGATTCACTGTTTTCGAACTTTACTATTTTCATGATGAAAATCATTCTCGGAATAAAAATGAAAAAGATGTGCTTTTAATAAATCGAAGAGTATAACCTCTTACTCAAAGTATTTGATTACATTTACATCGATATTGAGATATAAATTCTGACTCTATCTAATTTAACATCTTACATTTAAAAAATTATATAACAATGAAATTATATAGAGAGAGAGAGAGAGAGAGAGCGAGAGAGAGAGCGATGTATAAAGTGGCATGGATTATCTATGACTTCTAGGTGGATATTCTATATCTACGTTATCTATCACAGATCACAGATATAGCCCATAAAGCATATTTATATACCTTGAATGAACATTCCGCACATTCCTGTCGGTTTATCGCCTCTGATCTTTATCGATCCTGTATGCGCAAAACAAACAGCAAGTATAAATAATTATACTTGATCTATTAAAGTATCTACATAATTAAACAAATTAATATAATATCTCTGTATAGTTGAATTCTTTGTGATAGTGTTTATTCTCGCATCTAGAGAGAAAATAAGCGTCTAATGATATTTATATGACGAATTACATTAAAGGAATTTAATACAAATAAAAAATTAAGGTTCTGACAAAAAATTCACACGCTTCAAGTAGATAATAAAAAATTTCTTTTCTATTCTACTGAGCTATTCATCATAAATTAATTTAATATATTATAATATTTGCTTTATCATGTGTGTTTAATGAACATAAAATATAAGTATATGGACAAGAAATAAAAGTCGATCGATGATACGTTACACATAAATGAGTGGAAAACCCTGAAGTTATTTACAGTGTTTTAAAGATGTTTGTCAGCATCAATAATATTACATTGTTTGTCAATTTAATTTATAATATTATATTATTCCAATTTCAGTTTAGATATTTCAAGTCGGACAAATAATCGGCGCACAGTTTGCTTGAATTAAAAATTGAATTATAAATTCCCAAAAAATATTATTACGCACGAAGATCGAATATAGCAATTTCCACATATTTGTGATAAATAAACTCACTTGTGATATACAAATTTAAAAAATAGTAAATATCTACAACAGAATCTTAGTAATAAATTTTGAGCTTATGGATATAACTTTAACGAACTGTTTAGACTTTCTAATTAAATTATAAATTCACGAAAAATTACGAAAAGATTAATAATATAATTTCTCTCTAGGATATCCTTTGCTGTAAAAAATATCATTACCCTCGACTTTACTTCACAGAAATAGTAAAAAATATGACACAAAATCGTATTATGTAACATATTATATTATCCAGTAAGTAAAAATAAATCACACAATGAAAGTCAAGGACGATGAAACCTGTTAATAATCATGAGTCCTTCCGCTTTTCTTGCGTGACTGTAATTTTATTATCCTGTTAGAAATTCAATTTCTGCGATAATAGACAAATTTTTTATTTTCCTTACTCTTTTATTTAACATTTATAAATATGTGCAGGCATATAAATATATCTTTTAAGCATTAACAATTACAATGAAGTTTGTACAACGGTGAACACAAAATTCTTTATTGCATCTACGAAACAAAAGTGTCGTTGTAAAATATTGTTCAGATTTGAAAATTTCTAATTAATTATTTATAATTAAAAACAATTACTTTTAGGATTCATTGAAAAAAAAATCAAACTTGAATATATCTCCTTTGGCAAACATTGTAACAAAGTCTTGCATAATTTTAAATTCAACGTTGAGGAAATTGATTGGCAAAATTCAATCGTAGTCACACATCGTGGCACACATAGCGACTCGCAGAGAACACTTGTTACATAACAGCGTCATTTGCGCCATTGTACGAGCACGTGCGCACTGCACTGTCTATAAGCTGCATAAATGAGATAAAAAAAGAGGTCGTTACTCTGTAGTCTTGGCTTTCAAGAATACTTATAGGCGTTAGCTTCAAAGCACCAGCGATTGACTGAATCACGCAAAATGTTTATATGCCCTATTTTTATAAAATTCATGCAGATAGCGCACATACAAATTTATAATACGAATATAAATTCACAACAATTTATTATAATATTTTATGATATTTATGTTATTAAATGATATCCTAATAAATTTCTAAAAATTGTTGCTACCTTTTTCTTTAATTTGATAGTAAAGTTTCTTCGAAGCATGTTTTATACGTGTACCTATATGATAATATATTAAAATGCGAAAACACATAAAATATTAAATTCTACATTTAATTACGTAATCGTATTAAATGTGCGAAAAACGTTTTTAAACACTAATGTTTTTTGTATTGCATACTTTTAGATTATTTAAAATTAAAAAAATATATTAAAGAGAAACTTGAAAGACATTTCTTAAATTTCTATTAGATTTTTTATCTTATTAAATAAAAAATTTAATGAAATAAAACATTTAGCGAAAAATTCAAGAAATATCTTTCTTAAGTTTTTTTATTTTTTAAGTTTTGCAGTTATTGAATGATTTAAAATTAAATGAAATTTAACCAAATGGAAAATTTAATAAAATAAAAAATTTAGGAGATATGTCTCCCTTTATATTTTTTTTAATCTTGCAGTTATCGAATGATTTAAAATTGTGTAATACGAAAAAAATTAGTGATAGTTAAGAACGACCTTTCGTACATTTAGTACGATTACGTAATTTACGTATAATGCACCTACATGAAATTCACGCAGTGTTACTGCGTAAAGCATAAATGGAAAAACAAGCTTTCCGAAGAGTATTCGACAAGTAGTCCTCCCAAGTAGACCATAATCTGACATCATAGGCGTATTCTCATCGGCATTCTCTACGTCGCAAAAGCAATTCGACCGTTCTGGACACGGTTGGTTACACAACAACCACCGACGTCAACGCAATCAGTTCCCACCCCATCTGATTGAGAACTCAATAAATGCAATACGCGAAATAGCTGGTCTAATAATACATATATCGAGTCCGTGATTCAATGTTAAGGATGCTGAATGCTTGTCGACGCGATCAACGATCTACAAACGGGTGTGTCGCCATGTACGCATGTATTGTATGCAGACACATGGCCGACTTTGCTGGCGGTTTCCCACAGGTCGCGAAAACGCTCGCGCAATCGCGCACGACTCTATGACCTTCAACGGGCTATCTTTCCGCATTTCCGACGGACCATCATGCTATCATAATTATGGCGCACTTAAACAGCTACCGCAATCCGACTATAGCGCACGCGGACTTGTAATAAACGGGTGTGTCACCCTGCATGCTCGACGATTGGATTCTACATATACTGTGTCATCTCGAAGCAGCGGTCTTCTCAGAAAATAAATGTCAGGAGAACAAAAAAAGACGATCCTCGAAACCCCTTCCCTCGCAGATCTCTTGCACGAGCGTTCTTGAAGAGAAAAAAAACCCTCCTTGGTTTTGGGCGTGGCGCGTCTAACTTATATTCCCGCGAGCGATGTGTCATGTAAAAGCGAGCGAGTCACCGCATTGCCGCAGTACGAGGTGGGAAGGAAGAAAGCTTTCACGAGTCCCACTTACCGTGATAGTAAAGAGCGCCGGAGGCGTTGAGGGGTGGTGGACTGGGGGCCGTAGCCCCCGCCGTGGGACTGTGCGGTCCCCAGCAGGTCTGCTGATGATCGACCTGATGATTATCGACATCTCCGACCACGTCGATTTCCTCGTCCTCGGGTTCATGCCTGCCGTGCGGCCGTTTCTCCATCGCATCCGCGGTGTGGTGTAGAGCGTGATGTTGCGCCTGTTGTTGTTCCTGCAGGGCGGCACCGAGTGGCGTCGCGTCCTTCTGCTCGTTCTGCTGATCGTCCACGCGTGCCTGCCACTGATTCCACTTCCACTTCTTCGCCATGAGACAGCGTGGCATAATGATAACACGGATCCGTTGTTTCAAGGCCGCCGACACCAGGAGCTGGCGATGGTGATGGCCGTCGTCGTTGCCCGTGTGCAGGTCCGGTCAGCAGAAACGGCGGCCTCGACCTCGGAGCGGGACACCCACGCGGTACACCAACACCGACACGCTCGACACCAACAACCGCGGCACCAGCAACCGCACCACCGACGATGACGTCGTCACGCTCAACAGCCGCGATTACGACGACGCGCCGTCTGTCACCGTCGGCTGCTTTACCTACTGCTCCGCGGACGACGACGTCGTCGTCGACGTCGTCGTCGTCGTCGTCTACGCGACGTCGACGCCTACGTCGCGCCCGTCCGTCACCCGGCCCGGCCGTCTGTGACTGTGGCCCGTCGGACCGGTGGATGAGGAGGAGACCGTCTCGGTTGGGTGGCCGCTCGCTGGCCGGCTTCGCCTTCGTCCTACGTGGTACACGCTGGTGTGGCACCTGCAGCCTCGTCATCGGCGCGGCGAGGGCGGCTCCTTAAACGGATGCACCACCGCCACCATGCCAGCTCGCCAGCGCGGCTTACGATCCTTCCGAGTCCTTCGCGTTTGCTTTTCTGCGTCCGCTCTCGAGTGGGGGCGGCTGGTCGAGGAAACCCTTACTTACTGGACCGTACTTGACGTGATTTGACGCTCGTATAATGAGTAAATATTATACCTATGTAATGTGTGCACGCGTGTATATGTGTATATTTGTGTGACTGTGTATATGCGTGATGTGTGTGTGTGTGTGTGTGTGTGTGTGTGTGTGTGTGTG